GATGAATTTGCCATCTTTACAGGTCAAAAATAGTCAGATACTGGCAATTTCATATGGATCAGAATAATAACGCCCTCTTTGCAGAACTGTGGTATGGTCTAATGCTCAGTGAGAGCGCAAATGAAAGCTGATGTCTCTTTTGCCCTCTGTCCCCTCAGAACCGTGAACTCCCCAGGGTGAGGTGAACCCCCTTTCTTTGAACTCTCTTCTCCAAGATAGGGCTCCCACAACCACTCTGCTGCTGGCACTTCCAAGCACTCCTCTCTGCTCCTCCTACTTCTTTGGGCTCAACTTCCCTCCAGCTGTGCAGCATCTCAGACTGCTTGTGCATCTCCTAGTTGTCTGTGGGGCCAAACTCAGAATAGAGTGATCTCTGTATGCTTGCTGCCACCTCCTTCTACCTGCTGTCCTGCATTCCTCAGCATCCTGGGCCTCATCTTTAGAGGGGACTGTGTGGGTGGAAGGTAGCAGAAGGCCCATAATCCATTTCTCCCAGGCTAATCGCTGGCTGTGAATGGGAATCAGTCTTCAGCTCTGAGATTGGAGGGGTTGGTGGGAGTGTGGCCCCTTCCAGCCCTGGAGAGAGATGGGCCTCTGGGGCAGAGCTCCAGGGCAGGGGTGAGGGGTAATGCTACAAGGCAGCTCTTTTGAGGCTGTGTGTTAGTGATGAATCATGGTCCCTTGCCCAACCCCAGGGCTTCCTTCTTAGGATTAAGGTCAGATCTGCATTCAGGTGGACTGGGATGTCTGGGCATGGGTTTGTGTGTCGCTGTGGCCAGCATCTCCTGGTGGGGGGAGGGTGATGTCCCTTAGGGTGGAGTTGGTGGAATGAATGGAAAGGGAACAAACATTTGACAAACACATACTATGAATCAAGTTGGTCATTATGCAAAATAGGCAACTCTACCTCCCAAGAAGTGACAAAGAAAGTTTGTGAACAGGGCCTAGTCCATCCAATTACATCATTTGCCCAAAAGACCAAGCTGGAGAATGACCTGAAAGAGTGCAGGGGTGGGAGCTCCAAGCCCTACCTTCCTACTGCTCTTTGTCTCTTCTTCATCCCCTGGCCTGGGGTGTCAGACCACCTTGCAACACAGGTATTACTCTTCTTTTCTCCCTTATGCAGCAGAGGAAACTGAGGCTCAGAAAGCTTCAGGGACTTTGCAAAGTCACTGTACTGCAAGATGGTAGAGCAGAAATTTGAACCCAAGACAAGCATGTAGCATGCTAGTTTGCGTAGGACCTAGTATGACACTGAGTTCTTTCTTACACCCTGAAGTGGCTCTGTCTGTGCAGCAGAGGATCCTGATCTTGACCCCAGAGGCCCTCAGATGACCTGAGAGCCAGGCCTATAGCTGTTTTTGGGTGAAAGGCCCCTCAGTGGCCAGGCAAACTGCTGCCTGTAGCCACAAGGTCTCATTCTAGCTATTTGGTGATGATATGGCTAAGCCATGACAGCTTCCCACCAGGGCCTGGTAGCACCTTCCTTTTTTTTTTTTTTCCTTTTTCTTTTATTATTCATATGTGCATACAAGGCTTGGGTCATTTCTCCCCCCTGCCTCCACCCTCTCCCTTACCACCCACTCCGCCCCCTCCCTCTCCCCCCCTCAATACACAGCAGAAACTATTTTGCCCTTATTTCTAATTTTGTTGTAGAGAGAGTATAAGCAATAATAGGAAGGAACAAGGGTTTTTGCTGGTTGAGATAAGGACAGCTATACAAGGAGTTGACTCACATTGATTTCCTGTGCATGGGTGTTACCTTCTAGGTTAATTCTTTTTGATCTAACCTTTTCTCTAGTACCTGTTCCCCTTTTCCTATGCACCTCAGTTGCTTTTAAGGTATCTGCTTTAGTTTCTCTGCGTTAAGGGCAACAAATGCTAGCTAGTTTTTTAGGTGTCTTACCTATCCTCACCCTTCCTTGTGTGCTCTCGCTTTTATCATGTGCTCATAGTCCCTTGTTGTGTTTGCCCTTGATCTAATGTCCACATATGAGGGAGAACATACGATTTTTGGTCTTTTGGGCCAGGCTAACCTCACTCAGAATGATGTTCTCCAATTCCATCCATTTACCAGCGAATGATAACATTTCGTTCTTCTTCATGGCTGCATAAAATTCCATTGTGTATAGATACCACATTTTCTTAATCCATTCGTCAGTGGTGGGGCATCTTGGCTGTTTCCATAACTTGGCTATTGTGAATAGTGCCGCAATAAACATGGGTGTGCAGGTGCCTCTGGAGTAACCTGTGTCACAGTCTTTTAGCACCTTCCTTCTTTATGTGGTTCAGTTTTGTAACATCCCCCACCTCCCAGAACATTCTATAAAAGGCATCAGCTGTCCTGCCAACCTGGGGCTCAGGAATTTGAATGTCTGTTGCCTTGTCTCTGAAAGTTGCTTCTGGAAATCTTCAGTCCCTGTGCACCAAGGGCTCCTCTGGGCATGATCTTGTATGTGGGTCTACACTGGATTACTCCCTCCCAGCCTCTGCAGCTCTGGGGGAGCACCAGGGGTCAACTGACCAGCTTTACTTTTTTCCTGGCTCCTCAAATCATCTCCTTTCCGGACCCAGTGCTTCCTCTGCTGGAAGGGCCGATTTGGGCTCATTAACAATGTTAGTGTGGGGTGTCCTGGCTTACGGGTGACCATCCTATGAGTTAACTTTCCACTGGTTTTCTGAGAAGAGGGCTGCAAGCCAGGCAGACCCCTGGTGCTGTTCCCTTCCTCCTGTCATGGCTGTCTTCCCCATGCCATTCCCTATATTCCAGTGATCAAGTGCCATGATCCCAGCACTTGGCTTGCTTGCAGCCTTTCAATGGCTCACCTAGCATCCCTGGCCTCGTCCACCTTGCCAGCTTCATCATTTGCCACTTCCTTCCATGGTCCTGGTGCCAGTCATTCTGAGCTTCTTGCTCCTCCTAGAAGGCTCCTTTCCTTCCTGCCTTTGTGCCTTTGCCTGTGTTGTTCCCTGCACCTGGACTTCCTTCCTCTCCTAGGTCCATTTGGATGGATGACTCCTCTTCATCCTTTGAACTCCAGATCAATGCCACCTCTCCTCTCATTTCCTCACTCTGCTCCTTCTCTGATCTTCCAGCTCACAAGTTCCCAGTTCATACTGGTTTTGGAATAGCAATATGGTCTTGTGTTCTGTCTGTGCTCTGATGGTCAGTTTCTCTAGTCTGAGAAGGCCATGGCTGTATAACTCACCTCTGCTGCCCTTGTCTCTAGCCTAGTGTGTGGCACATATTGACCAAGTAGATGATTAAATGAAGAAGTGAATATTTTCTGCAGCCCTCCCCACTCCAGTAACTCCTTTTATCATGCTGCAGTTGGTTGGCTCAGAATGGCTGGTGTTGTCCCACCCTCAAGGTCAATCAGAGCCTTGGGTTTCTGTCCCATTTGTTGCATTGGAACCAGTGCATCTGCCACAGGTTTATGGAGCTATGGCTTACTTTTTGCCTGAAATTCTGAACCTTTGTGTTTGGCCTGGCATATTTCATCTTGTTATGTTCAGTCCCAAATGGCCATTTCTGCCAGAAGACTGTGGTGCCTGCAGAGCCCTCCTGCCTCTTGAGATCTGGCAGCAAAATGATCAGACTATAAACTGTCAGTCGAGTTCATGACTGGATCTTGTAAATGGCCAGGCGAGACTCATCTCTAGGAGTCAGATCGAATACACATTTATGACAGCTGTCAAAGTGATGTTACTGATTTCTGGTTAATTTGGCTTTACTCTGTGAAAGCTGCTTTTAACTTATCACTTGAGCAGTTTAAAAGTCATTGTGGCTAGTCGATGGGAAGTAAAGAATATCTCAAATAGGGTATTCTGTCATGAATAGTGTTTCTCAAAATAGGACCCAACAGCATGTACATCAGAACCCCACAGGCCACTTGTTAAAATACAGATCCCTGAGCCCAGCCTGGACTCACTTAACTGCATATCCTCGTGAGGGGCCCTGGAATCTGCACTTTCACACACTCGTGGGATGATTCTCATGTTTATTAAAGGTAGAGAACTACGACCCTGTGGGATTAACGACTCCTAGAGAACTCACCTGTGTGGTAAGTCACAGTGGTGTGTGCAATGACAGGGTGGGTGACCCTCCATGTCAAAATGTCTAGCACTGGTATTACCCATCTGGAGGTTCTGGGGTCCAAGTTTTACTTCTATCTTGGCAGGGGTCCCTGGAGCTGAGGAGGCAGTCTATGTCAGGGCATGAGATGGGCAGCCGCCTGGTGGATTGCAAACTGCGTCAGATGACTTGAGCATAGGCTGCAGGGAGGGTGACAGGCATCCTGTGTTTGACCAGGTGAGTATGTATATGGTGAGCAGCAGGAAGAAACTTGTATACAGATAAGTTAACTTACATCCCTGGCAGTCTTCACCTTGGCCATGTGTCATCTGAAAAACAAGGCTGGCAGAGCAGGAGGGGTGAGATTAGGAGGGTGCACTGTGTCCCTCTTGTGTGCCATGGAAGACTTACACAGTGTGACTTACACAGTCACTGTGTACAGCAGCTTTTCTTGCTGTCTTCATTGGGATAAACATGACCAGGGCTTTCTACCCAAGCACCTGATTTCTGCACACAGTGCTCCAGCCTTCTTTGTCATCAGAACAGCCCTGCATCCTGACTGTCTGGCATCAGACAGTCAGACAGCTTACTAGCTGTGTGACTGTGGGCAAGTTGCTTCACATCTCTGAGTCTTCAGTTCCTCATCAAGGAAATGGGTTGGTGATACCTATCTCTCAGAGTAAACTAGCTGACAAATGCAGAGCACCGAGTACAATACTGGACATGCAATGGGTACGCTGTGGCGCTCATTGGATCTTGTCTTGAGCCTCAGGTGATAGCTCCTGTCTCCTCGGGGTGGGGGGCTTGCTCCCCCATGGATTCTATCCTGGGGCATGACCCTGAACCCCTTTTGTCTGTTTGCCTTGCAGGCATTGCCTCTGAAGTGGGCCTCTTAGTTCAAGAACTTCTGGATCTCACGTCTACTATGAATGCCTCTCACTTCCTGGCTTCGCTCTTCCCAGGATCCCCACAGGGTGAGAACAGGAGCACGCCAAGGGGTATCCCCTACAACTTCTCTGACCATTGCCAGGATTCTGTGGACCTGCTGGCTTTTATTGTCACCTGCTACAGCATTGAAACCATTGTGGGGGTCCTGGGCAACCTCTGCCTGATATGCGTGACCATGAAGCAGAAAGAGAAGACAAATGTGACCAACTTGCTCATTGCCAACCTGGCCTTCTCCGACTTCCTCATGTGCCTCATCTGCCAACCACTCACGGTCACCTACACCCTCATGGACTACTGGATCTTCGGTGAGGCCCTTTGCAAGATGTCAGCCTTTATCCAGTGTATGTCGGTAACTGTCTCCATCCTCTCGCTTGTCCTCGTGGCCCTAGAGAGGCATCAGCTTATCATAAACCCAACAGGCTGGAAGCCCAGTGTACCCCAGGCCTACTTGGGGATTGTGGTCATCTGGCTCATTGCCTGTTTCCTGTCACTGCCCTTCCTGGCCAATAGCATCCTAGATAATGTCTTCCATAAGAGCCACCCCAAGGCTCTGGAGTTTCTGTCAGACAAGGTGGTCTGTACTGAGTCCTGGCCCCTGGACCACCACCGTGTCATCTACACCACCTTCCTGCTGCTCTTCCAGTACTGCATTCCACTGGGCTTCATCCTGGTCTGTTATGTGCGCATCTACCATCGCCTGCGGAGGCAGGGGTGTGTGCTCCGCAAGGGTACCTGCAGCTTGAGGGCAGGACAGCTGAAGCGGATCAACAGGGTGCTTGTGGTGATGGTGGCTGCCTTCGCAGTGCTCTGGCTGCCCCTGCATGTGTTCAATAGTCTGGAGGACTGGTATCACGAGGTCATTCCTGTCTGCCACAGCAACCTCATCTTCTTTGTGTGCCACCTGCTTGCTATGGCCTCCACCTGTGTCAACCCTTTCATCTATGGCTTTCTCAACACCAACTTCAAGAAGGAGGTCAAGGCCCTGGTGCTGACCTGCCAGAAGAGTGCCCCGGTGGAGGAGTCTGAGCATCTGCCCCTATCCACAGTGCATACAGAAGTCTCCAAAGGGTCCCTGAAGCTAAATAACAAGTCTAACCCCATTTAGCTGTTTCTAGGCTTCTCCTTGCTGTGTTCCTTGCCAGACTCTTTCACTTAATTAAGTGGGCATACTGCAAGCTGCAGGCAGCACCCTGTGATTCCTAGCCTTCAGGCCCAGATAGGTTGGTAAAAGCCTGCATCTAAATGCACCCTCTGCATTTAGATGGTTCACCCACTTGCTCCTGGGAGAATTCTGAGGCCAGATATTGCAGGTCACAGTGAGCCTGGCTGCTTGAGCTGCAGGATGCCAGAGCCGGAGATGGCTCTTTGTAGCAGGCAGGGATCATTCTGGTAACTCAGCAACCTGTGTCTGGCTTGAGAATCCAGTGATTTTTCCCCCGCTGGTGAGAGCTTGAGGTCACTGCGGGGCAAGGGAAGGAGCACTTGGAGATAGAGTTCCGGATCTTGGTCAGCCCCTGCCCTCTGGGAGAGATGCGTGTGGATGTGCTTCATCAGTGAGTTGCTGTTGTGCTGTTAACACATCCAGCGGAAGAGCCTGGATCCTGGTAGTTCTGGCTCTTCTCCCCTGCAGAAGGACTTCCACAATGCACATCTGACTCCAGCCTTTTTCTCTGTCATTGTGTCTGCCACCTTATAATGGAATCAACCTGCAAGTGTCTCCTCTTGATGAGATTGTGAACACCTTGAGAGTTACATTGTATCGCCACAGAGCTCATCATCCTCCATGCATAGGATAGGCTCGGTGCAGGGAGGGAGCTCCAGAAAAGTTTTCCATGGTGGATCAGTGGTAAAGTTGCCACTCACTGCTAAGCATTAGGCCAAAGACAGGGGTACTGTGCTGTGGTCCAGTATGAGAAGGAATCGGGGCTCCGGCTGTTGCACCCACAGTTGCCTGCCTGCCCTTCTTGCCTTCCAGGATCTCTCTGTACAAGGCAGTTGGACAGACTCCATGGCTCTCTCCAGTGCTGACCTACTGCAGAAGCCTGCAGTTCTTAAGGCTGTGACCATAGCCTCCAACATTCATGCTCTGACCATGGAGTGACTTGCCCAGGGTGATGTACAATGATCTTTCAAAAGTTTTCTCAGGACATTGGACTCTATCACGGCCTTCAGCAGGAGCAGGGGCAGAGAGTCCTGGGAATCTGATTTAGTGAGCCACTGGTTGCAAGGAGCAGGGAAGGTGGACAGTGGGCTACGGTGAGTGTGATTGTCTCATTCATGGGTGTCACAAACCAGTCCCTGGATCTGAACTGGGTCCAAGGCTTTGTCTGTGTATGGAATAGACAGCCTGTCTTTGCAGAGAGGGAAATATCAATATCACAATGAAACCCCTTTGTGCTATTAATTCATGCTAATAAAAATGGAAAAAAAGAGATTGCTCATGGGTCACTTTGGATGGAATGTCTCAGCCTGGCTGTGCTTAGACCTGTCCTCCAATAGACTGGACACACCATAGTTCTCTGGGACCTGGTATTCAGGTCCAGGGTTCTCCAGGGCCTCACTGTGGGCTGCAAGCCTAGGCTCTACATAGGGGATCTGGCAAAGGATCAGGCAGCTGCAGATTGAACAGCCACATCTGACAGAATCTCTGGCCTTGGCCTCTGACCAAGGACCCATGCAGCTGATGCCTGAGACAAGTGCTGTATGAGCCACCAAGCTCCCTTTCTGGAGCTGTTTGTCTTGTCTCAGCTTTTGGTCAGTTATCCCATTCAGTTCTTTGCTCATTTTTATCCTGGATTTTGGGGCCAATTTCTTGGGCCATTTTCCTGGGCACAGCTTATGCTTGTCTTCTGGTGCCATCTGCTGCTGACTGTTCCAGGTGACCATCTCCCAGCTAAGGCTAGACGCTTGGAAAGATATCACTGTTCAAGTTCTGCAAAGAACAGATATCCTGCAAGTACTTGGAGTTTGGTTCTCATGATCAATTTCAATGGTGCCAAGATACTTGAGGGACAAGGGTGCTTTAAGATGCCATAATGCTTGAGGTTAGGAGGATCAGACTGGACATCTGGGTAAGGTAGTTGAAATTGGAGTGGTGAATGGAGGCCTCATTGAGTGTCTTCTGTGATCCCATCCTCTTTCTTAGGTCAACATAGTCCACCCGGATGGCTAGTTCCTGCTTCTGGACCCCAATGATCCTTGGGATTGGTTAGTTACCAGCATCCTAGGAACTTGCTAGCCAAACTATGGGCAGAAGACCAGCATCCTAGGCACCACCCATAGCTTTTTAGATATGTGGAATCCTTGTTGCTGCTCCAGACCTATTGAAGCAGAATTTGCATCTTATCAAGATCTCTGGGTTAATTGCAGACACATTCCTAGAGCAGATCAAGAAGATCTGAAGATCTGCTCTAGGAAATAGGTTGCCAGGGAGCCTGGTGTTATTGGGTGAGCACCTGCAAACATCCATGTGGGATCTGGAGTAGAGATGTAAAATCCTCCTCTGGACATGTCTTTGAACTTGGAATTGCTGAAAAGGTGTGCTCAATTTTGGTTGTTTTATCTCATTTCTGGCTGCCTGTGGACATATTTCTTGTGAATCATTTTCATTCTTTCAATAAATACTTGCCAAAAGTTTAGTTTGTATAGTTCTGGGACATGCCCTTTTTTATTCCGTTGTATGTCACTTAAAACTGTATCACCAGCAGTTTGCCATCATGGTGGATATCATTTTTGATAGTTGCTTAAGAGTTTAGAAACTGCTTCAATGGCACTTGGCACTTCTCAGAATTTCTGTTTAATTCCCGAGGGGCCATCTCTTGTCCAGAAAACTGAGACTCTGCCAATCCCAGTGGGAGACACCCATCCTCACATGGTGGGAATGAAGGCTCACACCCACTGAGACTGCCTGGGAACCCTTGGAGTGTGCAAAACCTTGTTAAGTTCTGGCAGTGAAGCTAAGTTCTGCCTAACTCTAGCCCTTTCTTTTCAAATAAACAATGTTGGTTTGATTTGTTTTTTTTCCATCATAAAAGTAATAATCCTTGAAAATATGCAATGGATGTAAGAATAAAGTGAAAAAGGAAATCTTCACTTAGTTCCACCATTCAAAGACAATCACTCTTTACATTTAGGGAATTATTTTTTTAGTTTGTGCATAAACATATACACATGTTTGTTTTACAAGATGATTGAGATCATACTATGTGTATTTTGACCCATATATCATATTTTATGATTTTTTGTTTCACCTTATAAGAATTTTTATTCATTTTTGCATGAATCAAATGTATACGTCAGATACAATATTAATTGCTGGGATATAATGGCAAATAAAATGGACATTGTTTCTGTTCTATGAAGCATATTGCCCATTGACTAGATACATGTTGTGTCCTTAATCATTGTCTATTGTGGCGCATTGAGGGGTTTCTAGATATAATGTATGTAGTTCTGTGAGGAACGTCTATGCAGAGAACTTTCTCTGCATTTGGAATGATTTCTTCAGGAGAGATCTCCAGAAGTGGAGTTAATGGACAAAAGGACATGGACATTTTTCAAGGCTCTTGACTTCCAGAGAGGCTAGAATAATTTGTATTCCAAGTGGTGTCTGTCTCATGGTACCCTAGCCACTGCTGAGGATGTACCATTAACCCAAGGACCTGGGCCTGGATTACCTGACAAGAGGACATCTCATCTCCTGCTTCAGGGCTCCACCAACCTCTGTGGGCACTGACATTTCTAAGGCCAGTCACTGTCCCTCTATGAAACTCCAGGGGCTCCACATAGTCTTTAGGATTTCAGGACTGTATAATTCATAATCTAAAAAAGGATGCTTGAACATTAAAGGGGCACTATTACTAATCACCCTGAGATAACAGGTAAAACCACCCCAGGAAACAGGACTCTGAGACCATCCTACTATAGCTAAATCCAATCCCTTTAGGTAGCTTGAATCCGGCAATCTCTACTCTGGTTGCAGCTCACCTTTCCAGTCATTTTGCATCTTGACCTTATCACATGGTCACATGCATGCTGCAGTTCCCCAGCATGCCTGGGCTTTCCTCTGTCTGGCTTCCACCATTTTTCCTCTGCCTCCACCCCACCCTCACCCCCACCAGTCTAAGTAGGTCTTAATCTTACCCTTCCTTCAAAACACAAATTCAGTGGCACCATTCATTACTGCATTCATCCAACAGGTATTTATGAGGCTTACTATGTGTCTGGCATGTGGTGAACAAGACTGAAAAGATTCTACCTCTTTGAAACTTTAATTCACATGTGCAATTATAATACCAGGTCCTGGGGATGGACACATAGATATGCTGGAGAGTCCACCTGCATTTTTTACAACTCCACAAGACTGTGTGTCTCTTAAGGGCAAAACCCAAGAGGCCCATCTTACACCCCTGTGACCTTTCACATGCCCTTGGACAGGGTAGGCACTCAACAACCATTTGCTAAGTGAAGAATTAATATTACTAAACTTTACTTATTTAGTCTGAAGAGTTTTCTAATGACTAACTGAAGGTTATCCATGAATCTGTGTGGAATCATTTAAAGGGAAACCTGAATTTTCATTGACCTTAGAGACCCTTCCCCAGGTAAGTTGCCCTTATCTTGAGAGCCTGCTTATGGGAGTGTGGCTGTGTAAATTGAGGCCTTGACATTTCTCATTGTTTAAATATTACCACTTACTTGAAACTCCTTCCCTCTGACTCTGAAAACAGTTTATCAGCATAACTGGGTGCCAGCCCAAAGGTCTCTTAAATGCATATCCTTTCATTCATAAAGCTGTGAATGTTCATTCAATTAGCTATTCTTCCTACTGCCAAGGAAACCAGACTGAATGTAGGGCATGCATTCAGAACAAAGAATGCCAGCGTGTTGGTGAACACCTGGAGATAGTCATATCTCTCTTGCTAGGTAGTGAGGCCAGCAGCCTATGTCACTTTGTAAATGTCATTTGTGGGTTTTATGTGGATAGTAGCTCTATATAGGCTTTCCCAAACAAGGCCTCCTTTTCCTTTATGGACTGAGCCACCTCTTCAACTCACACACCAGCAGCCATGGAAGACTTGTGTCTTAACTGGTTAGCTGTGAGCA